CTCCATTCTGCTCTGGTCTCCCGTGTTCTCCTCCGTGGCTGGGCAGTGGTTGGTGCTGCTTGCCTACAGAGGAGGAAGGGCCTTGGAGCTGGGTGGAGAGAAGCTGCACCTGCCTGTGAATTTTGGACTGAAGATAAGAGCAGGGAGGGTTTGGTCAGCTCCTCTCCCCTGCCCAGAGTCATGGCTTCCAGGTTGGGGTGTGTCCCAAAGACTGACTAGGTGCTACCTGCCTGCCCAGCCAACTTCAGTGTTCTCTTTTCAGAAGAGCAGTTGGCCCTGTTGCCCTGTGACCCATGATGGCTCAGGCCCTGTGATGCCAGTTACATGATGGACTTTTATTGCCGGGTGGGTAAGGCCACAGGCTCCAGGGTGCCCTGATTTGTCTTACATCCAGGGCAGACGTAAGACAAACCAGGGGACAGCTGCCTAGCCAGTCACACAGGGTCTGGGGAGAGGTGACCCACAAGCATGGATTGTATGCACCCTTCTATTTTCTGGTGGAAGTTTTATTAAAGTTTGTTAACAGAAAGGGAAAAAAGAGTGGCTCAAATTCCCTCAAGATTCTAGAAGGGAAGAACAAGAGGTGACTGGCTTGTGGCCTCTGGGGGAGAAGGGGAGAGCCTTGGGTCTCGGCAGAGGCCTGAGGCCTCTGTGCTCTCAAGCCTGCACTGGCTGCCTCCTGCAGGTCCCACGAGACTTGGGTGATGGGTTCAGAACTGTGTGTGCTGGTAATTGCCTGTGTAATTAGCCTGCTTCTCCAGCCTCGGCTGGCTCAGGCGTGAGTGGGTGACTGGAGGTACAGTCTGCCCCTCTGAGGCTGGGGGTGGGGAGCTTCATGGCAAGGACCTGGCTACAGAGGGTCTTGAGGAGTCTGCTTTCCTAGCTCAATCCTGAAAGTGTGGATGTTGAAGGTGTTTGTGTAAGTCTGGCCAAAACTTGGGGTTTTTTCCCCCCAGAAAAGTTAAGTTTAATAGACTTGATTGCTTACTTAAAAAAATTGCTATATCAGTCAGGATGTCAAGATCTTAGAACTACGTCTCGAAAGATTGGGGTTTGGAGCCGAGCATGGTGGCATACACATGTAATTCTAGCAGTTTGGGAGGCTGAGGCAGGAGGATCACAAATTGAAAGCCAGCCTCAGCAAAAGTGAGGTGCTAATAAGCAACTCAGTGAGACCCTGTCTGTAAATAAAATACAAAATAGGGCTGGGATGTGGCTCAGTGGTCGAGTGCCCCTGAGTTCAATCCCTGGTACCTGCCCCCCAAAATTGAGGTTTGGAGGCTATAGGAAAAGACCCTGATAACTGGGCAGAAATCCCACAGCCCCTTCCCCCAGTACCTACAAGTGGGTCAGAATGTCCAGCTGGTTCCTCTCCCAAGATGACAAGGTCTGAAGGGAAGGAGCCCCACCTTGGTCATCTGGGTCCCCAACACCAGCACATAGTAGCTGTTCAGTAATGTGCATCGACTCATGGAAGAGTGAGCGTGTTTTTCCAGCATGCACACGTGTCTAAGTATAGATGTGGCCTCCTTGCCCTTGAGTTCCCTTTTGGTCTCATCTCAGGCACTTTGTTGTTATGGAATCTGGTTCTTTTGATCGAAGGAAGCGTGGTGCGGTGGCCTGTGATGTAGGCTTTCGCTCTCAGTGCAGACTTCCAGCATCCAGACCCCAGCTCCACCCCTGGGCTCTGTGCCTGTGTGCATTTGGGCAGGCCCCCTGAGCAATGACCGGATCAGGAGATAGGCCTGCCTCAGGTGCTGGCTTCAGAGGGCCCTTGGGAAGGAACCTCCTAGAACCCTTGCCTGATCCATGCGTGTGGGCATTGGATGCCCTTCATTATCAGGTGTTTTCGATGCCAATGTAAAACAGCCCACCTCTTCCCATTGAGACCTGTTAGGGCAGGGTGGGATGGAGTCCATTTAGTGGATAGGTCAGCAGTCTGAGCCAGAGAATCCCCAGGCTGGGGGAGGGCGAGCACTGGCAGCTGTAGGAAGGGGGAGCATGTGGCTGCCGTCCCACCAGCCAGGGCCCAGGTTTTCATATGGCCCCTGTTCAAGACCTGTGTGCAGTGGGACCAGAGTCCTTAATTGTCAAATTAATGCAGCTTCCTCATTAAACACCAGTGTCGTGCCAGGCAATTCAGTTGATTCAACAAGTCTTGCTGGCCTTGTGGGGAACTCAGAGCACATGTAGGCTGGTCCCCACCCTTGGAAGAACCTAGGGTTTTCTGGGGAAAGACAAGGCAGAGACCCATAACACAGTGACACTGTACAGCTGGGTTCGAGGTACAGCCAGGCGAGGTGTTCCAGAAGACTAATGATGGACCCTGCGTTGGAGTTGGTGGAGGGCGAGTGTGTGGAATGGGACGGGCCCTTTACAGGAGGGGGGCAGTTTGGGCAGAGGTTTGGAGACCGGAAGGAGGATGTGTCTGAGCCTTTGCAAGACACACACTTGGCTCTGCCACTTGTTAGTCTGTGGCCTTGGGCAAGTGAGAGCCTTGAGGAGTCTCTGTTTCCTCGTCTGTAGGATGAGAACTGTGCCCACCTAGTGAGACTGTAGGAGTGTGGGGTGAGCCAAGCAAGGGGAGCGCTGGGTGCCTGAAGAGCTTGGGCTTCTGTTGACGTGGACTTGGCCAAGTGAGGCCTGAGCGTGGGTGATTTCTGTGCTGCTCCTGGAGGTCCTGAGCCCCTCTCTGCTTAGTAGAATGTTCCGCCTCTGAGCTACAGATGATAGGGACAGCCCACCCAGGGTTTTGTGCACTGTGGTAGAGGACACTCCTGTGTGGCTCTGCGACCCCTGTGTGCTCACCCAAATCCAACCACAACAGCCTTGCCATTGCTCTTGGGGATCCAACAGCACAGCTCATGCCTGTAATGCTGTCTGTGGGTCTTCCTGGCTTCCTGCAGCCTCTGCTCAGTGTGCCCTGAACAGGCTCTCTCTGGACCATGCTGGCAGGCGTGGCCCTGCAGGTCGCTCTCCCTTCTTCCTCGGCTTTGTTGTGCTTTGTAGCCCTCATTACAACCACTTTAGGTATTTTTCTGCTCATTGTGCGTCTCTTGCACTGGATGGC